AAGCAATATAATATTAAGTATACTGTTGCCATGGAAGTTTCCGGATAAAGTATTAAGCGCTTTATTGTACACAGAAGTACAACAGTACAAAAGTACCTCGTCATTGAGCAAGTCACTGAAATAATGTATATATTAAATATGAATTCAAAGATAAATGATTGTCCAAGGAAAACAATTTAGAGTGGACTGTCAACCTGTATTACTAAGTATGTTTTATAATATATTTAGACATATTGCTTTCAAAGTAATTTACTTAAGTAATACAGAAGATTGAGATAATTTTTGAAATGTCATTAAATGTATAAAATATTTTAGTATGTTAAAAGATTCAACTCTTTAAAAGAAATGTTTTTGAATAACAATAAAATAACTAAAATCCGTATTATTCCTTGTTTTAATTCACATTTATAATGTTTAAAAATAAATATCAAATAAAATGAATATCCTTGAACTAAACTGTCAAGCGTTGGCTGTAAAAATTTTAACATTTAAGTGTTTAACTACAAAATAATTTTAACATTTCAACATAATAACAAAATTTTAATTTAAAATCAATTGATTCAAAATTGTTTTTAACTAGGTAAAAATATCCAATTACAATGTGATTTTATAAACAATTTGTGAAAACTTAAAATCACAGAAATAATCTTTGTTTAAAGTTTACATACATAGTTATAAGCAACTAAAATATCATCAATTGTAACTAAAAAAACTGCTATAATTGTAATTAAAATTAAACACAAATAGAATCCGTATAAATGAATAGATAAAATTATTGTAGTACAAAATTCAAACAATTATAAAACTCTGCTGCCTAGTGGTTATAAATTAATTTTTTCAAYCAAAGATGGTGTATTCAATCTGAATTATGAGGTTTAATCCTTAGGTCAAGATTCTATCATTTATAATTATATATTATATTAACAGCAAGGTTAAAATTCACAGAACTCAAATTGTATAACAAGGGCATTGAATTTTATAATAATTATATGACAGAATAGATTATATTCTACAACTAGTCTTTGTCACCTACTCATTCAACTCGCTAGCTCCTTTCAAATGTCATGACTAAAATTCTTATAAATATTTCGATGCTCAGAACGCTAACAACTTAAAAAATAAACCCTGTTTCATGCGCACTACATTTTATCAAATAAATAGTAGGTGTAATAAATAGTTATTTTTTTTCATAAAATAAAATCACCTAATAAAAAAATGCATAATTACTAATTAGGTATTCAAAAATGTTATCTCATCATTATTAAAACCAAAAATTTAATATAAAAATAAAATGAGATGACAATGGTGTCTCGATTTCTTGGTCCATGATTGGTGCATTAAATTAATTGATTTTTCATCGAATCCCAAGTACCGGTAAGTAATGTAATTGAACAAAACATGATATTTACCTCAACAGTTGTTTGGTACAACGTATCGCCGTCTATCAAACTCGTCGTCCTTGGGAAACCGTTATAAAAACGGAACAAAAACGTTTTTAATTTAATTAAAAATCAAAAAAAGGGTMGAGTAAACGAGTTTGTTTTACGTGATCACAGACAACAATGACAGACAGTAGGCAGTGACAATGCAAAATGAAGAATACATCAGCGACGCGCTTCGACGCCCTCAATTCTCACCCCTCGACCCACGATCCCTGGTGGCAGACATTGACGGCCGCGTCCGGCGCGTGAATACCGCGTGGTTCGTAGCGTCAAGGCGTCCTGTTTTACGACGTGTTGCAATCTCCTTTGCTACACACCGATCGATTTCTACTCCATGGACGGTAAGCGCATAACARCATATTAACCATATTTTGTGGTTACGGGGTTCATGGATGTTACCATTAACCGAGTATTTTGTTTTTAACTTGGTGGTCCTCCCGYGCGCTCATCACTGTTTACTGTTTACGTTCCGACGCGCAACCTATCCTAACGTCCGCGTTAAATTACTTGTTCTGATATCATTCAAATTCAAAATCACATCATATCTCAATAGAATCGACTCAATCCCATATTCACATGTTCACCGTGAGTCGTTCTCGCAAGTTTTCTTGTTCCTTGGCGACACCGTCGATCAGAAATCGAATACATTTACGTCGCCGTACATACTCGCTCTCACAATGCCGTCAGACGTAAAAGAGTTTGTCCGCTTACTGATGACTTAAAGTACGTCCAGTTCGAGACCAGCGATGGTGTTGAGGTGCTATCCAGGTTCAACAACATGAACCTCCGCGAAGACCTCATCCGCGGCATATACGCGTACTGATAGTATCGTCCAACACCTTGGGTTATGGTCCAATTGGGATGCACTACACGCATATATATGTATATTTTCTGATTAGGTTTTGAACACCCTTCGGGTATTCAGCAGGGTGTTATAAAGCCGATAGTCTGTGGACACGACGTTATAGCTCAAGCCTGACAAGCCTAGTCGGGTACTGGAAAGACAGCCACAATTTCAATTGCCATGTTACAATCCATTGACATTTAGCTCAGAGAGACACAAGTGTTATGTCTTTCACCAACTCGAGAGCTGGCCRTACTGACCAAAAAGGTTTGTGTCTTTTGAGTGCCCTGCGTTTCACCTTACTTGTTGTATATTTACCTATGTGTAATAAGGAAAATTATTGAAATTAATAGATGTAGTAACGCAAAAATAGTAAAGGAATAAAATATTAAAATAAAAAAATATAAAGAAATACAACTAAAGAATTTATCATGAGTTACCAATAGAATTCTACCAGTTAGTTTTAACCGACACTTAACCGGACATTGTAAGAACAGCCCTAAGGCTCCTGCCAATAGTATAAAAATAATTATAATTTAGAGAGTAGAAATTTTAGGTTTGTGTCGTCTTCTACACTTTTAAGTTAAAAATGCTGGAGAATGATAACAGATGTAAATATCAAAATGTTGCTATTATCTTCCTCCTGATTGTCGAAGGGCTCTCGAAGTAGTAATTCAAAAATACTTTCAATAAGTTTTTTGTTCCTTATTATTTAAATAAATGTATATTTATTAGAACAATTATTGAAATTAATGTTGATATTGGTTTGAACTTCGATTTAAATTTTATTTAATATTTTTTAATTATTTTATAGGGAGTTAGTTATGTTAAGTTACTAAAAGATTAAGCATTGTTACTAAACCTTTTAAACATTTTAAGTATTTATACATCAATATTTAATTTAGAAAGTCTAAATGTTAAAAGTTGTTGATCAAAATATTGTTTATGGATCTTATGTAATCTTATCTTTTATATCTGTAAAATTCTTAGTCAATGTAACATTGTATAGGCTAATGACCATAGATGTTGAAGCTTTTATTCTTAATAAAAAAAAAATAAAAAAATAGTTTATTTTTAAATTTAGGTACATTATTACCTTAAATTTAAACCAATCGGAAATGGTAAAATCTCCACTAGATACAATGTTTTCTGAAATTTCTAAAATGTTATTTTTAATAACATCTAAATACTTAGTAGGTACTGTAAATAACTTAAACCAATTTAAATGCCATTTGATCATTAAATTAAAACCTTCCTAATTAATGCTACAGAGAGAGGAGTTTCTTATAATGAAAGCTTAGTTTTGAACTTAAATAATGTATTAATCCAATTAAATTATTATTTAGGTAATCTTAGGATTATGAGATTATTTGAATGTTCATTGTCATTCTTGTATTGGTAGCACCAACCTGAGGAAGCTGGATTTTGGTCAGCACATTGTTTGTGTTACTCCTGGGCGTGTGTTCGGCATGTATAATGTACCATAATTATTAAAAAAAAGTCTATTTATTTATTATGATTGTTTGTACAGGTATGATAAGATGTAAATAWTTACGTACATGTAACTTAAAAACTCTTGTGTTAGACGAAGGAGATGAAATGTTGAACCATGGATTCAAAGACCAAATATATGATATATATCGTTTTTTGCCACCTGCTACTCAGGTATGATTATACTTTTTGATTCAGTTCATACCGTTTTCTCCAAATTTATTTTAATTTAATTTATTCTCAACATTTTTAACTATTGGGCTTTATATACATTATATTTATTATTATACATTACATAGCTTTAAAATTTTTATTTTGTTAGGTGATTTTAGTATCTGCTACAATACCACATGAAGTATTAGAAATGACAAATAAGTTCATGAATGATCCTATTATGATATTAATCAAACCGTTTTTATATATTTTTAAAATATAAATGTCAAACATAAATTTGACACATTATGTGATCTTTATGATACTATAACAATAAGTCAAGCAATAATTTTTTGTAGCACAAAAAAGAAGGTTAGTGATGTAATGTAAAACAAACGAAAATTACTACTAATCTTTACCTCATTTAAGGTGGATGAGAGAAGAGGGAATTAAATTTCATTGTCAATTCAACGCATGGAGACATGCCACAAAAAGATAGAGACGCAATCATTAAAGAATTTTATGCTGGAAAAATGTAAGTATTTACCAGTAATTCATAGTTAATAGGTTATGTATAATTAAAAGACTACCAAAAATATTCAAACTTTTTCATACAACAACTTCTTTGTGTCTTCACAATATTTAGATGGCACTCAAATAATAATTATATGTATTAAAATTTATTATAGTATATTTTTAATGAGTTAAGATTTATTAAGTTAAATACTTTGCCTGATACTAATATTTGTTCTATTTTCTTCTTAAGTGTCTATATCGTGTATGTCAATCCATAAAAATAAAGTTAAATGATTTAGTATATTCAGTAGATCATGAGTTGTTAATATTACAAATACAATTGTCAAATACATACAAAATCAAATTTCATTGTTTTCTTCATTTTAACTGGAAGAATTCAATATTTTAACTAACAGAATTGAATATTAGACAGTATTTATGTTACAACATGTGTTCCTCGGTGTGATTATTTAACCCCTTTATTTTTTCTTCTTTATACTAATTGTATTTTTTGTAAATTAAAATTGTCAAATTTCTTTAAACTAACTAAACATTTTTTAAGCTAAAATCGATAATTTTATGACTAACAATATCATGCTTTTAAATATAGAAAAATGGAAAAATTAACTATTTAATTTTCATTAAATAGTGACACTAGTCATTACTCTGGACAACCGAACTATAACTCTAGAATAAATTAAGCAAGTGATTTGGTTCAAAATGTTCTTGCTATCTCATGGGTTCATAATATTACTAAATAGGCATTATCTAAATTAAGTTTAATTAAATGTATTTGTTAAGAATTGCAAATAATTGTGCTTTAAAATTATTATATTTAACTATTGTATGATCTAAGTTGGAATTTGTAAGTTTGGTACGGCTAAATCACTCCAAAATTCAAAATGATTGTATGGTTTTTGTTTTAAATATAATCACTAACCACAATAACCACATCGTTTATCGCATTATCCACATAACCATATTACTAACAATTAAATTAAACTTCTCATTGTAACAAATGAAATCTTATATTATGTTTTTAAATAAGTTTTCTATTATTTCTATCATACTTTGTTCTTATAAATATTTGCAGAAAAATTTTAATCTCTATAGTCATTTTAGCATGTTCAACAAGTTTCTTTAGTCGTAAATTATGATTTACCAAACAATCGTGAACTGTATATACACAGGTAATTTATTTGAATTGATTACTAACACAGAATAAAATAGAAACAAAACTTGATCACCAGATTGGGTTATTAACCAATACCTCTAAAAGTTTCATATTAACATTCATTGGATTCTAAAAGTTGAAACTGCCTCTTTTATCTTTTTGGTTATTAGCAACATTTATGAAACAAAATTACAAATCAGGAACACTTTTTATTGATGGTATCTTGTTTAGTTGCAGTTATATTTAAATATTTATATCAAGTAATGTACTATTTATATATTTTATTATTTAATCAAATACCATGTTTATATGATGGCGTTTATACAGTTTGAAAAACAGCTTTTTTTCTCCATATTCAAGACAGCAATCACAATTTGGCCAAGACGCTGTCTATTGTCATTGTCTGATAAGTAAACAGATAATAAATAGGTTAAAATTACAAAATAAATTTGTTGTTTAAATCTATGTTCTACTTATGTTGCATAAACAATTTATTAAATTTAACGGTTTACTAAAAATTTAATGGACCAATACTTGTGGGCCACAAAATCTTTTTAAGGGACTATTAGCTTACTAGCGTTTCATTAAATGTTTTGTTCGACCTGCCATTATTTATTCACATTCTATGCTTGCATTTTTTTTTCTTAGGATTAGTTGTTCTGGAAAATTTGGTTGCAAAGGTGTAGCAATTAATTTTGTTAAGGCCGATAATATTAATATTTTACGTGACATTGAACAATATTCAACACAGATCGATGAAATGCCCATGAATAGTAAGTAACAAATCTTATTTTTGTAATTTATTAACTATAAAATGTGATTCACACACATCCTTTATACATACCAATGATTTTGTACATATTAATATTGAACTGCATTTTGTATTTGTAATGAATGTAAACTTTTTTTTACTTAATWTAAAGTTTTTGAATCTGATGTTAGTATTAAGTGTTTTAAATTAATAAATCACATCATTGATTGACAAATGTACATATTGTGTACATATTTAATATAATATTGTATAAATAACAGTGTAGGTTAATACCATAGGGACTGTATTGTTTGTTAATAAATAATCATAAATTTAAAGTTATTATTAAACACATTTATTTTTATTAGTGAGATATAATGTATAATATATATTATAAATATATTATATAATATATAAATTGTTTATATTTTAAAAACTTTTGTATTATTTGCCATTGACCAATTTATAAAAATGTAGAATTAATTTTCACTTTACAAATGTAACACTTATTTGGAGCCTGTAAAAAAACAACTGATTACGAAAATAAATTGACTAGATATACTCACAATTAAAATGAAAATAATAATATGATCATATATACAGATGATCTAAAAGAATTTACTAATTCACAAACTAAATAAAAAAAAAAAAAATAGTTATAAGCTTAATTATAAAATGCAAATACTTTAGTAAGTGGATTTTTCTTCCTTGTAGATGCTGTGTCCAGTTTAATATCAACTTTTAAGCTTACTGTATATTCTGCATTTTAGGATATGCCTTTTTGATTTACTGATGTACGAGGCAAATTTTTTTTCTAAAAACTGATTAGATTATTACAGTTGGGATTCCTATGACGCAAATAGTTTAAATATAAACTATAAAATATTTACGAACAAATAATTTGCAGCCTATTTGGAATACTTGAACAAACATTTCAATGTAAATAATTAAGTTTATCAAACTCAACAATCCACACACTTGATATATACAATAGATTTGGCATCACCCCTTAAAATAATATCAACTTTGTCATTTTTGACTATTTCATATTTAAATGATGCTGAATGATATTTAAATTTTTAAATTAAATAAAAAAAATATATTCAAAAAAATAAAGTTTAAAAATCATAGAATCCAAATTTTAAAACATTGAATATTAATAATGTTATTACAAAGGTAATACAGCCAATGAGGGCTCTCGATTTCCCATGGATAATATACTGAAGTGATATGCAAAAAAAAAAATATTTGAGAACCGCTATTCTACAATGTTATTCCATCTTCTTAACTTTATCCTGACAATAACAAACGTAAAGATCAGTCAAATCGGTTAAGCTGTTTCAGAGTTCATCCAAACAAAAAAAGGTACTTCATTTTACACAATCTATTGATGTATAATATTATCTTATATTATAACTTATACATATATATCATTTGCATGTACTCTGAAAACTTTTCACTTACGTATATGCGGTTTTGGGTTTATGGTTTTGAAAAGTAACAAAATTGTATTACCCTTTACATAAATATTTTTATTTAAATTACCTACATTGGGCTAATTTTATATTATATTTAGATAACTGATTCATTCAAAAAGTAGGTAATTACCAAAAACGTTTCTTTAAAAAAAAAATTGCCTAGGAACTAATATAAATATAATAATATATGTTATATGCTATATTATAGCCGTTATAACATTGATGTCTTGATGATGTAAGTAATTAATTACATTTTAGATATGAATAAAATGTACCTATAAGTAATTCTTGAGATTATTAATAATATTGTTGATTGTTGTTTAAATATATTTATTTTAATATCAAGATAAATTACATTTTACTCCATAGAAATTACTCTTAAAATTTAATTTTTAGTTTATGTTATATTACAAACCAACACTTTAAGTTAAGTGTTGAGATGTTAAAATTTAAAATTTTGACAAAGAAAAAAATGATGAGTATATAATGTTTGTTACTACAATAACGCAAAGATCAAGCAATAAAACCAATAAAAGAAAAATATTTAAAGAATTTATAACTTAATTATAACGTCAATCATGCCATCATACATAATAACTAATAATTATTTTGAATAATATGTCCATTTCATTAATRAAAAAATATACCAACTTAAATTATCTTCAAAAATAACTATGTATATTTTCTTTTTCAATAATATTAAAAAAAAAAAATTAAATTAATAATATAAGAACATAATATTTAATTAATATTATAACTTATAGGAACTAGGATACAGACTTGAACGCACTAAAAAGTTATTTAAAAAGCTTAGAAAAATAACAGGGTATATAATAAAACATATTATTAATGCAATGTTTATGCTAATTAATATTGCTGTATTTTTTTTTTTTTCATTGGATAATCTGTAAGTTGAAGTAATACTTTTAAATAAAATAATTCCATTGTATCTCCTGTGTTTATTTGAGTAATTAAAGTTTCCAAACACATATTTGTCGACGATCAAATAATATAATATATTTATTATTAATAAATGATAATTACACGATTTGCAGGCAATGGATAAGATAAGATATAGTAGTGATCATCACAGGAACATTATAGTTTTTTTTTGTATTCTGAGAATATAACACAATAAGCTGAAATATAAAAGCGGTTAGCTAGATTGGTTGAGCTGCAACAACATTCTAGAGAGATTACAATGAGACACATGATAGGCGGGAATAGAAAAAAAGAATGCTGTCTTGTATTATGGGAAGGAATGCGAAAAGATAAAGAGGCTATTAAAATTGGGTGAATTGATAATTCCGTTAAAAAGCGAGACAATGAACACAAGGTTTGCAGTATTGCGACATGAAGCCAAAGATGGAATATTAAGAACAGAGCGGAATATAGGGAAGTCATGCTATGGGATCCCAATTTTTAATAATAAAATTGCATAAGACAGGAAGTGGTTTTGGACTCGTTAAAGCACAGTTGTTTACAAGATACGTATGAATATCAAAAGACAGATTCATTCTCGAAGATTGAGCGTACTAATAAGCAGAAATAGATAGAGAAGAGACAGGTTGCAGAACTGCAGAAGATAAGAGGTTTGTATTATGTATATATTATTTATATTTAAAAAAATATATTCTATGTTAACCGATAAAGTTAAATTTCAATTATATTTATTAATTAACTAATTATATTAAATATAAATACCATGAGAATTTTTTTTTTTAAATACTTTTAGTTGAAAATTGGTTAAAATTCTAAAACAGCGATAAATATAATATAATGTGCATAAAACTAAAAATTACAAAACTACAAAGCTTCATTTAGAACTGGTGGAAGAAAAAGGTACTGTCATACAAATCCATACTCTACTCATAACTGGGTACAATAATTTCAATTTGATATTATACTATATTTACCAACTTTAAAACTATAAATTTATTATTTTCATACAGTATTGTAACAATGGCTGTTATCTGTGACATTACTTAAGTAGTCAGATTATACAAACTATACTTTACAAGCTATGTTTGTTTTCATATAAAAAAGTATTAGAAAACGTATATTTAAAATTTTATTTATATAAAACTATATTAACAAATGATGATTTATAATTTATCTATAGAGAGTGATTGGAAAATTTTCGGTCACTAAATGATCGTCTACAAAAATTACTGAAATATTAACTTCAAACTCTGAAAAAAAAAAAATTTAATTAATATTCATATAGTAGAATATATTATATACAGAATTTAACTTAATGTTGATAACTAGTGAATATAAAGATTTATTAATTTAAATCTAAAATTATAAATCTAAACCAAATAATATGTACCTGTATACCTATAAAAGTCATATATAGGATTATATTAAGGGGGATATAAATTAATCCAATGGGATCACTAACTACTAACTAGAGACTATCTAGACTTAGAGGCTTTGTCTCCTCACAACCAATGTTACCTTAAGAGGATGCTACACTCCACATGTGTTTTGGCTCCATCTTACAAACATACAACATAGCAAAAACTGTTTTGCGCAGGATAGAATTATTCAGGCAATAGTTCAAGCTAAGCAACAAAATATCACACTATAAAGAAGAGAATATTTGTGTGCAATATAGTTTTAGTTTTCGATATTACAAATACAAAAAAAATTATTCAAATTTGAAATGATGAATTTTTAAATAATGAGAACTTTTTTTGTATTTGTGATATTAAATTAAAAAAACGAAGTTGCACAGTAAATATTCTTTACGTTATTGTATGCAATTTTTTTTACTTAGTTTGGACTACAATTTGAGTAGTTTTATCCTGCGCAAAACAATTTTTGCAATGTTGTACACCTGTAAGACAAAGACAACACATGTGGATATAATGTAGTTTCTCTTAAATAATACTTTTTTTACATCATTAATACAAAATATCTTACCAAAATTATATTATACTAATACATCATGTTTATAAAATTATGTGACCAACTTGAGATGGAATATTTTTTTTTAACAATATTTCTATTTCAAATGTATTTATGATATTCAGTGGTGCACAGAGGTATTTTAAGAGCACATGCAGATAAAAAAGTTAGCCACCCACCCACCCAATTTTTTATTTATGACAAATATTTTCACTTATTATTCACTGTAATTCAAAGAAATCAATTAGTATAGACTATAGTTTATGTTATAAACTTTTTTTATTTCCCTGTGAAACCTGCAGTAGTACACACCTACCCTCCTCAAGAACACATGCAGTTGCATTCCTTGCTAACCGTCTGGGCGCCATCAATGATATTCAAACATTTAAAAAACTATATAAAATATTTAGAGRCAAAATCACTCAGACTGTTTCTTATAAAGGATTAGGTTTTCTTAAATTAGCACATAAATTAAAATATAAGAGGACGTAACCACTGGCATTTGTTGTCTCTGTCTAACAAGTGAGTAATATACCAAATTTACCATCAGCAGATTATATGTAGCTTTGTTAGTTTAACAATTAGAGTGAATCAATCTCTTATAAAACTTTATGGTAGGACCACTATCTGTATTTGTGTGTGTTTTTTTTATGATAGTTCAGTTTTAAAATGAGTTACGAGTTTATGAACATTATTATTTATGTTGTTTTGTGAATACAAAACTTGCTAAAAAATTGTATTATGTAAAAACCCAGATACAAACACAAATAATGATTTTGTCTTCAAATTTCAGGTTGATTCACTTTAATTTTCAGACTAACAAAGCTACATGTGATTTACAAAGCATTAATTAGGTATGTTACGCACATGTAAAAAAGAGATGACAAATGTCAGTGTTAAGTCACTTTTCCTAAAGGCAATTTTCTAATACACTGAAAAGGGTACATTTAAATTATAATTATCTCAATATTTTTAAACTCAATTTTTGATTTTTTGAGAAATATAAATATAAATTTTTTTCACTTATGTTGTTTTATAATAACTTAAAAATATCTTTATCTCATACAAGTAACAGTGAAATTTAACTATCAATTATCATAAGCCGAATAACTGTTTACTAGTTTCCAAGTACTACCTACAGTATTAATGAATGTAAAATTAGAATAATAATATGGATATAATGTTTACTATATTTTAGTATACTAAATAGGTACTGAAATTGCCTAAAAATCTTTCTATCTCAGTAATTTACAACAATTACCATAAAAAATCTAAAATTCAGTCAAAGCTGAAAACTGCACATTCAACCAATAATGAATATTATTAAATATATGAATATTATGTTTAAAAATGAATATGTATGTGAGTATAGATAGTATATTGCTTATAATATTGATAGTATATAATAAGTAGTATAAAGTCTTTTATGTTTAGAATATCCCATGTTTATTTTCTCAGAATTAGAATTCATTATTATTGCAACTATTGATGTTTGCTAATTGTTGTTATTATTTTGTTTCTGCAATTAAATATTAAGAGGACATCACACGGGTATTCACTGTCTCAATCTTAAAAACGTACAAATGGTCATATATTACATAACAATAATAGTATCAATATAATCCATTGAGATCCTCAATATAATCTTGCCTTTAAATTTTATTAGAACAAAATTCACTCTTATTTTAGAGATTATAAAGCAAAATATATTTATTCATTTATTATTTATTTATTTTATAAATTTAACGGGCGAGCCCCGGGCGTTCATATTATTGTGAATGTAAAATTTTTCTTTATTGTATATTATTCATAATATGAGAAAACAAATATGAGTTGAAAAAAAAGGTTTTATAAATATTATAATAAGCTACTAAATATAAACATGTATATATTGAAATGTGAACTCTAAATTTAAAAACATGGATGAAAAATATTTTATGAAACAAATATGTTTCAATTGCCTATAATAGTTGTAGTTTATTGAACATTGATCTCATTTATGATCTGTAATGTAATAAATAATAAATACTAATCAAACATAATTGTTTCACTATCTTAAAATATCTCTTTTTTTCATTGTTATGTATTATAAAAATAATATCCAATAAAAATATATTGGCAATTTCGTAATTTGTTTAAAAACAAAATACATGGTCAAAATAGAGCATATAGGAGCTAAAATATATGCTTATGAATATATTAGATATAAAAAAAAAATTATTAGTTAAAGTTCATTGGAAAATAGTTATTTGATAATAAATTACCTATTTTAAAATTTGTTGTTTTTGTGGTAGAACAAGAAAATAACCTTGGAAATATCATGTAAATTGGAATGGAGATCCCCGTTGATATATTTCCTTCGGCAATTTGAATGTTTTGAATTTCAGTGGCTATAAAACGGTTTAAATAATGAAATTATTATGATTTTTACTTTTACTGAGAGGAACACACAATACGAAAAAGATGTTTTCTTAAAATTATCATTTAATATTTAATGATAATAATATACTAAAAAATATGGTTGTAATCCAATGAAATCAAATATAAATAAAATTTAAGAAGATATTGATATTTAGAATACCCACGTGACGTCATTGGGCCGAGTTTGATACAACTACCCATCTAATATATGTAAAAGTTACATAATGATTAATGTATAAATTTGTGACTTTCTGCTAAGGATATATAATTATAAGAATTTCAATTACACGTTTAGTTATTTTGCAATATTGTACACTACAAAAGTAATAATAGCCAGTGCACTATAAAGTGTTGCGATAAGCGCCTGCTGTAGTTACAAACGCACATGTAATGAAAAATAATATTATAATATTTTAAATGTTTAAAAAAAAAAATTAACAGTAAGATAAATGTTGGTCCAATTAACATCTTCAGTGCACATCACAAACGTATAACAAAATTCAAAAATATAGATAAAGATAAGCAGTTACAGCGAGGCGAGTCCGGCTCAATGACGTAATGCATCTTTATTCAATTCTTCCTTATTTATTTAATAATCTAAGTAGAAAATATTTTGGTTTCTAAAAAAAAGCTTATGTTTATGTATTTTGTGCTTTTTAAAGAGATATGAAAAAAGTTACCATCTTTTGAGAATCCTTCAGAACAACCACAGGTCTCAACACGCACCAATTGTACATCTATCGATTTAATGGGGATATCAGAATGTTCAATTTTCAACTAGAAATTTAAAAAAAAATATTTGAATTAACTATGTAGTATTATTCATACTGTATGAATAACAAAATGCATTACACATCATATTATCTCACTTCTCCTGTAAATGGCCGCATGATTGAACAAATAACCGAATCAATTGAACCAACAATGTGAAACTTTGGTATGTTGGAACTATCATTTACATTTGCCAATGTATTTTGATTTATCACAAATTTGTCCACTTTAGACGACAGCATATTTAAACACGGCTAAAATAAACCGTAAAAAATAAAAACAATGATTCTGTATGGAACGGTTTTGGCTGCATGCCAACTTTTACTTACTTTGTTTTCAATAACAAATTCTAGCGTTTTGTGAATGTCCTTATTCAGGAAATTCCTCTTGATGACAGCCTTCAGCAGGTACTGGATATTTATGAATACACCATGATAGGACTCGTACAACACTTTGTTCAGAAGTGGTGTGACGGGCGCTTCGAACGGTATTTCGGTGACACCGCAAGGAAACCGGCCGGCTCGGGCTATTTCCAACGAGCACATCATCAACTGGACCGGCTGAAAATGAATAAACAGTGAGTATACGTCGTCGTTGTGACAGGGCCGCGCGTTCGTATACCTTGACAGAATTGTAGAATGCGTCGAAAGCACCTACATTCTGCGTGCTGATCTGCAAGTCAACGGCACCCTCGATGGTCATAAAGACGCCTTCGTGTTTGACGTCCGTTGGAGTATCGATGATCACCACCCCGGCGATGGTGTCCTGCAAATATGTGTGTCGATTACCCACGAAATTATTGATGAGCACCGGCACATACTTACGCTTTCACGATACACCTTGTTAGACCTCTTCAGCTGTATGTCCAAGTTTACGGCCATAGCGCGATTTGGTCGTCGGCTCGTCGCTAGGAATTCAGCGAATCGGAATTAGTAGGTGGCGGTAGCGAAACCAGCAGTAGAACAGTAACGCGACACGAGTCTGATTGCACAACAGTGGGATGATATTATGTTAATATTATTATACACTTATACAGTATAATTTTGTATCGCACAGGACACGGAACACTACCTTTTGTTATCGTTTTAATTTTTTTCATTGGTGACTATTATCACTTGTTATTATTATCATTTTTCTAAAACTGTTAATGTTGGCGATAAGCGATAACGTCACTCTGTTGCATRATAAAACTAACATGGTATGATAGTATGGGTCTGTCTCATAGTCTGTCTATACCTTAGATTATATACATATACTAGTATATGATCTAAGGTCTATACGCAGTCGATTAGACCACCACCGTCGTTATCATTTTGTTATTATCAAAAACTAAGTTGTTATCATATCGTATCATCCATTATTATAAATACCTACATCACGGACGTACATAGATAATAAATGATTATTATCTATGTGGACGTATATACAGGACTGGTCACGGACGCTGATAACTATATTATAACCGTGCCTTCCAAAATTCAACAATGATGGGGACTCTGTTTGGTAGTTGTTGTATACAGAAATATTTAGATTGTGTTGAATTATGGAACATGATAGTGTTCTTTGATGATAGCTTTGATGATATTAATAAAATTAATATATTGATATATGATATTAATAAAATTATTGCCATTTTATCAATATTGATAATAAATTTAAATTGTGTAATTGTGTTATAAACTATGAATTTTGTTTTTGTTTTCTGCCCGATTTTTTAAAGTATCGAAGTATGAGTTCCAATAACTCAATTATTTGTGCAAGCGTTCAATGTGTTATGAGTTTAAGAAAAGTAAACATAGAGTCTGATATTATACTAAAAAAATCGTCGGAAGTAGA